TATATATATATATATATATATATATATATATAACCATAGGCAACATGGAACCAACACAAATCCTTATGACTGTAGGATAGATCAATATGTAAAAACAGAGAAGTATGAAATCTTATACGTACCTCACTCCGATGGGCCATTACACTTTGGATAGGCTTGGTGATGGATGGAGATCGTAGATCCCATATGTGCAAATATCGGTCATCACCAACTGAACCAAATAAGTATTCATGCCTCAAATGCCATGCTACATCTTCTACAACTCCTTCGTGAATCTTTTAACCATAAAAAAAGACGTGGAAATTAGAAAACAACAAGAAGCTTCTTGTTCCAAGCTAATTGGTGTAGGCTGAAAATGAAAATTGATACATACTATAAAAAGGTGAAAATTGATACATACTATACATACATAAACCACTTCGGAATTAGGCAGGTGGTTATAATTGTAAGATAAACTGCTCATTTTCAATTTCAGATAAGCTAGTGAAATATGACTTCACATACATAACTCTTCGATATTCTTAAATGAAAATAGCTTTTTTTCAAATTTTTATCCCTTGATATGAAAAGTTAAAAACATATTAAGATTTTTTCTTTATTATTTAATTTTGATTTATCTGCACAATGGAAAGAATGTTGTAAGGCCTCTTAGCAGTCTAAATTATAAATTATAAAGGATCTCTCTCCTCCAAGTATTTAGCACATGCACACAGAGACACATCTCAGAAGCTTGTTCTTTCAGTCTCTTTCAAAAGAAATACGACGAGGATGGGAGCAAAACAAGACCAACCGGGTCAGAACCATTTCAACAGCCAAAACAGCAACATAAATAAACTGTCTCAAGACGGAATAAGCATCAATGTGGAGTCCTAGCTCTAAATAAATCCATCTTATTGCACACGAAGGAACAATCAATGGCATACCTTGAATATTTGCATAGCATCAATGGTCTTATTCTTCGAGCTTGCATGAATGTCCCACAAGCAAATTTGGGCGTCATCAGAACCACTCAGCAAATGGCCCTGTTTGAATTTACTCCATGATAAACCATATCCCTCAGTGCTGTGACCCCTCAATCTCAAATCAGGACTGCACTCTCCATCGAGAGGAGGCTTAGATGGGTGTTTTGTATAATCAAAAACATATACTTCTGCGTTGATCGTCTTGGTGGCTATAACGGAAGGATTTTGAGGCATATAACGAGCTCTGTTCACCTCTCCATCATGATTTATCTGCTGAATTATTTGTACCTACAAGAAAAACCACATCAAGATATAACGCATGGAATTGTGCTCACATGCATGGGAGATATATGCAGACAAAGGCATAAAACATAATTGTGTTCAAGACTAAAAATAGAGCCAATTCAAACTCAAAGGAAAAAAGAACTACCAATTAAACAGGAATAAGGAAGGGGTCGGTGACAATAGGAACCTGTCAAGAGTTAGAATATAAGTACGAGAAATAAAGTGCAACAATTGAGATACTGTTTGATCATAATAGCCAAAGCAGAAATAAATATATACTTGAATATTTTTAGTTTTCTACTTTTCTAGCTCAGCAAAGAGTTTTATCTAATTAAATTTAGTTCATCTACTTTAACTATCTATGAAGTAACCACAACTATAAATGACAATGAACACTTGTTAACTGCACTGCACCAGAAAATACTGCCGTTATTGTGTTTTTCGCCTTATTTGCACTGTGTGGGTTTTCCCTTTTTGCCTTTTTCCCATGTTCTCATTGTACCTTATTGTTACTTTTTCTTACTTTCTTTCTCGTGGCTCGCTCACCTCATGCTAGCATTTATTCTTTCTAACTGTTTGCGCACACTCTTGAACAAGCCTGGGGTCTTCATGGAAACAACCACTTTACTCTTTTAGGGTAGAGGTCAGGTTTGCATACATCTCACCCTCCCCAGACCCAACTTTCGAGTGGGATTTACTGGGTCAGTTTGGTTTGGTTTTAAGATGTAGACGAGAAAACTTCCCTTAACTAAAAGGTAGACAAAACCAATGCTGAAGCAAGAACTTCCTTTGAAAGAAAAGAAGTGATACAAGGCTATGAACATTACCATGACAAGTACATCTTCCATGACATCCCTAATTAGCCACAAAATAATCTTTTGGGAAATTCTACTGCTGATTCTATCTTTTTCCTAGCTCCATCTTCCATCTCATTTCCCATATTTATGGTGATTGTGATGGACAACAAGCCTAGTTTCAATTCTGGAGTACCCTTCACCTCTAAAAAATGGAAGTTAAAATTTGGATTTAGATGGATGACATTTGAGAGGCAGTGGATACAGTTTATGTATCAAGAAAAACAAGGGGGCTATCTTTGGGCAAGGGGTAAGCATTCATAATAAGGATAAGAAGATTAAATACTGAAAATAGTGTTAGAATAAGAAAAGGCATGGTATGATTGAGCATGTAACTTATTGGCCCATCTCCATCTCTCTTCCTCAAACGTATTATTTTAAGCATATTACATTAAATACCAAAATCCATCTTTTAATAATATATGTGCAAGTTATCAAAAACAAATGTCAATCGCCTCGTTAGATAACCTTAACATATGCATATGAGCAACTAAATAGAAGGAAAATTTTATCCACATAATTAGCCTAAGAATGTGCTTTTTGCCTTCTAGGTTGTCATCTCAATCAGTAATTGATTTACTCTTTCCATTTTTTACTGTAAGGAGTACATTTATGTAAAGTAAATTCTCTTACGTCTGAACAACTAGGAGTCCATAAATACACTTATATTAGAAGTTGAAATAACATACAGGTTATGCGGATAAAGTTAGGCTGTCCTTAACTTTTAGCCTGCCAATAACTAAAAATAGATAATATTAGATAAACTTTCACTTAGAGTTAGCACTATCTTTTGGAGTTGATGAAGTACTACAGAACAACTTTTACACCTGTTTTTCTCAAATTTCAACATTCGTGGTCGTGAATTAACTAATGAAGTGTCACCAAGAGAAAGGTAGAGTGACATCAGAATAACCAAAAATTCCATACCCAATCAAATGACGCCAATAGTTCTCATCTTTGCCTTGCAACTTATGGTACTTAATCTTCATAATCTTGTTATCCAGATAAAACACAAGCCCCTTAGCCAAAAAGATCCATCCCTTATCCATTGCTCCAATCTTAATTTTCTTCCCTCTTCCATTCACAATCCTGAACTGGCATTTATTGAGATAAAGTGCTCCGCTTTATAGCACGTCCTTGACCTCCTCACAATCACCATGTTATATTGCAAAATGGAAGAGCATGATACCAGGGAACAAAACGCATGAAGTTTAGCCATAAGATAAAAGGTGTACAAGGTTTGGAAGCAAAACACTACTTATACATGATTTATGTCTCTCTCGTGACAGAGTCCGGAATAAGTTTTGCATAATATAATCATTGGAACCTTCACTACTGATGAGAAACCTAATCTTCTTACGCTTGCTCAGATCAAGTTCCCTCTGAAGACGACTGCATGAATGAGAAGTATGGCAGTCACAGATGCAATGCTGATCATTCTATTTATTTACTGATACGAGCAGCAAGGTTTCATATGCCTCACACTATAACAAGTTTTCTTCAAAATATGTCGTTATGTAGCATTTGGAGGTCCAACTCCCTTGGCACTTTGAAAACATTTCTAGAGTTTTTAGAGCTTTAGACTTTATTGTTATCATTGCTTTGATCAAGCAGATCAGACATATTTTATCTAGAGTAATTCTGTTGTGCTGGTGCAACCCAGATTTATTGTTGGCTAAAACTATATGGTAACTCACACTTAGAATAGGGTAATGGGGATGGTTAGGATCGCAAGTGCTAATTGCTAGCAAAGAGTTGTCATGAATTGGCAACCCATAAATTACTAGGAGTATCACTTAATACTAATCTGGGCTCTATTAACAATTTGCTCTGCAATCCAATTCTTATTGTCCTTGCTCTCACATACGAGGCACTATAGGATGCAATGTTAATCCATTTATGAAAAAACGGGTAAATATGGGTTAAGTTTAATTGCTAACAGGTCAAATGGGTAAAATAAAGAAATGTAGCTACAACCGGAAATGACTGTCTAAAAGTTGCCAGAACATACTCAAGTGTTACAACTTACTAAAAAATTTATTCAAAAAAATTGGATCACTATTTCAATAGTAGTATATAAATGATACTTAATATACTAATTAGTTATGACATCTAAAAAAAAGCATTGACGGGTGAACCCAACCTGTTCTGGCATCAATGGAGGACCCGTGAAATTTCTGAGTGGGTGCACCTTTAAGGTGGATCAAAGGCCTGCAAAGTCGCGGTTTCACCCCTGTGAAAAGTCAATGCAGTTTGACCTGAGGGAAGTCAATTGTGTTGATTTGGGGAAAAAAATACATTTTCCCGAATGGAATCGACCCTTTTCCGACGTGCTTTTAACTGAATTCCACCGGTTTGGGGGACTTTTCGATTTTCAGGTTGATTTCGTAAATTTCCCAATATTTAGGATTTGATTCTCATTACGCTTTGCATTTTTGTCTAGGTTTCCGATTTTGATTCCTTATGCATAATGCATTTAGGACTTCTAAAATACATTTTCCTTAACATCAACAAGATCTTTCTCACAAACAAAAAGAAGACAATAACTAGGGTTTCAGAAAATTAAATCCTAAAAATAGGTCCCTTATTTCTTAAGAGTCACTTTTTTGTCTGCCTTTTTTTAAATTTCAAAGACTTTGAGAACAATTTAAAATACCGTCCCTTTTTTTGTTTTATTAAAATCTTTAATTCGGTCACTTAACTTCCTAAAACTTCGTTCTTTCACAAAAATATAAGAAGCCAAATTTTAAAAAACGAAAACTGGATATTAGCTAGAAGCAGGAATAGAATCCGTGACCTTTCAAAGTGCAAGCATTAACCTGGCCATCTCAACCCCTTAAGAGTTTTATTATAAATTTGGTTCTAGAACATTTATGGTCACCCCTCAAAAGTTAAGCAGATGCACCTTTCAGACCCTAAACAGTTTTCTATTGCGATTAATTGAGTGAGCGGTAGCACCTTAGTCCCCGTTCTGACCGGTTATCCAACCTGTCTGACCAATCCATTTTCCCCCCTATACAAAGCACCACCATCAAGGAACCCAGACACTATTTTATGAATAACGAAAAGAATAACAACTAAAATCACCTTGATCCCATGTTCAAGCTAAAAACCCCTAAAAGATCTTGTTTGCCAATTAAACAATTTTGCATGAGAGGGAGTATGCTAAAAAATTGTTTTAAGATACGAATGTGTTGAAGAAAGTCATTCATGACTGGAAGAAAAGTAACCTATGGTTCACCTCTTTATATTTTCTTTTAGGTCTCACCATCGACCATCGACGGCGACCAGCGACGGCGAGTTCCAATCGGCGTTCTTCTCTTCTCCACTGTTCCAATCGACGGTACCGAACTCTTCTCTCCATATCCAATCGACTGTTGCTTCTCGACTGGTAAGTCGTTCGATGGGGTTTTCAATGCAGGATAGATCGTTAACTCATGGGACTGTGATGGTCCGCATGAGAGTTTGCTGTAAGAGCAACACCGGTCTTGCCGGGCGTTTACACCATCGAAGCAATTTTAGTCCATTTCTTCAGCATTGGATTAGTCTAAATATGAACTCGGGTATTCTTTAACTAAGCACAAAGAATTCATTTCTTATCAGTCATAAACTTGTTTGATTTTCAATTTGCCACTACAGAATCCGACTGACATAGACAAGATAAAGGAAACGTTGGAGCCTGATGCAACTAGTGGTGGTGGATTACAGTTGCCTGGGAAAGATAGGGTTGTCTTCAGACCGCCCGAGAGGAAATCATTACTAGGTCAGTATGCTAAGAACCAGATATCTTCGATTTAGCATCTTAAGGTTTAAGTATTTTTGCATCAATAATAAGTCCATTGTGTCTTGTGTTAGATTGAACCAATAATTAGTCCATTGTGTCTTGAATGCATTTCGTAGTGAAAAAACACTAAACAACTCACTGGGGGTAAATTGCTCATTTTAACCAGTTATGTCCTGTCATGTCCTGTTTTACCAAACGCTGAACAGCTGTCCTGTCCCGTCCTGTTCTGTCCTGTCCAGTCCTGTCTGCGCACCAAACGCACCCTTTGTTTAATTTCTACCCTTCCCCAACTTGTTAGGGAGAAAATGCTTAATCTTGTTGGAGTTTCCAATCGTTCTTCTCATGCAACATCAATTAACTATAAATTGATAAAGCACCCAAATGTTTCATCACTACAAAGATACTACAGCCCTAACATTAATTTCATGAGGTTAGTGAGAGAACTACCATTCAAATCACAATCAATCTTTCATGTCGAGCCAAGCCTTAACAAAAGTCATATTTTTTGCTTAACAGTTGCCAAAACCAGCCTTTGTTCTCTTGCAACATCAACAAACTTTTTAAACTTCTGGAGACAAAACAAGAAAATGTTTTTAAACTTGTGGGTCACTTAGTGGACCGCTAAAGGCATGATTTGCCTCTCCTATGATGCTCTAGGGCGGGTGTTGTGGTTCAGCTTGCAGGTTGCCGGTTACAAACCCTTTTTCCACAAACATCAGTTTTACCAGCTACCCAAGAAAATGGGAAGTCTAATGGCAATTAGTGCTCTAATTAGTTCAACCGTATAAGGCATTAAGTACTTTCGTGAACCATATATCTGCAGCTACCTTTATCCTCAATTCTTGTGCATAAACAATTAACAATACCATACTAAACAAACAAAGACGTAATCATTTTGGTAAGCGCACACACCCATAACACTAGTTTCGTGTGATTTTAGAAGAGAATTGCATGCAGATCATAATTAACACTTCATCTGAACCACGAAACCAAGAAAGAATTCAGAAATTTGGCTTAATAGTTATAAAAGCACCAAGTCTTCCTGCTCATTGATCATCAATTAACCAGGCAATTCAGAATATAAACAAATACAGCATCAAAACAATTATATTAACACATACACAAGTTAAACCCTAACTGAATTTCACGAAATAATCAAATAGGACTTCAACTTAAATCTCAAAATCAACTCATTACTTGCAAGTAAAACCCTAGAAAATTTCACAAACACCAATATCTCTTCTGATGAGATCATAATTAACAACTCAAGGAAAATCATGTACACACACACACGCAAACACACAAACCTTGCCATTGGCGCATCCAAATCCCCCAACATCAGAGCGTTCATCGTAACGACGAGTATCATTTTCAGCATCTTCGATGGGCAACTGAACCTGAGCGATCATGAGGTAATTAGGCTCGTCGTCGGAGGTGTGGGTCCCAAGAATCAACTTCTGTACGGTATAGTCTTTACCGGCAGGCTCTTCACGGTCAGGGAGCCATTCAACGGTAAGCGAGGGCCACTCAAGCGCATGTGTGATGACCAGATCATACAAAAAGGGTGTGTTCTTCTTCCAAATTTTGTATTCTTCGTTGATGAGTCGCTCCTCAATTTCCCTTCTCATATCATCTTCAGTCCTCCCCATAATCTGCTTGAAAGTGGAGCAGGAGCAGATTCTGTGGGTTATGAGTCTAAAATTGACGTTGGAAACTTGTGAAAATTTGGAGGGAATTAGAATGGAGGGGAGGTAGAAGGGGGGTGGTAGGCCAGTGGATGAGATTGTTGGTCATGCACCTTCACAACGGAGTTTTGTCTTCTTTCGATTCAACCAGGGTTTAATCGAATCCATTTTTTTATTTTTTTTATTTTTATTTTTTTGTCGGAGGGCTATTTTATTTAAAATGAATAAAATAAATATATTTTATTCTCTATTTTATTTCAACATATTTTTTATATTATATAAAGAATTTTATAATATTTTATATGAATAGAGAGAAATTATTTTTTTTATTATCAAAAATAATTTGATCATTATTATTTTATGTAAAGTTTTTCTAAAAAGGGTATTAGGGTAATGGAGTTACCACGTATAATATAACGATATATATTTTGATTTTATTGTTTTTGTTTTATTTTTTGTGTTTATCGGTATTATATTATGGTTTCATGTGATTTTGAAAAAACAATAATGTTTTTATTTTTAAATAAAATGATTTGAATGAAATATATTTCGATATTAATATGAAATTAACTATTTAAAAATTTTCGTTCTTTTGTGTAATTTTCTTTAATTTAATTTTTTATTATAATTTATTTTTTATTTAATAATATAATTTTTTATAAGGATAATAATTTTTTATTTTGTTAGAATTTTATTATTATCTTCAGTATATTTTAGATTTTTTATATTAAAATAAGATGTTTATTTTGTATTTGATTATTTTTATCTACAGTTAGTTACACGAATTCAAACATGAAACTTTAATAAGTAATACTTATACACAATTCACTTGTAATCTTGAATTTTAAGTAATACGCATCAACAAAGAGTATTTCATTCATAAAATAATGGTTTTAAGAGTTTTTTTATCAAATATTTTATCAACATAATTCCGGTGAAAATCCCAAAAATATAAAATATTTTAACTTTGAGAATAGATATTTTTTATTGATATTAACTTTTAATTCATTATTTTTAAAAAAATATAAAGAGAACCTGTTGGAGATATTCTAATCAAACATTTATTGCTTTTTACCGGATAAAATATGTTTATCCAATCTAAGATGATTGTCTTTATCAGAATCTTAATGTGTCATTTTCCTAATCGATAATCTTACCCGAGGGGTCGTATGCCATTCTTTTGATGAGAAATAAAAATGAATATCGAAAATTCGAGTGTGTCGAAGCTGAAGCAGCTATTTGATTTCTAAAAAAGATTAACTCACCCTTACCGAATAAGATATGTTTTTATTGTTAAAGACTTATGATGCCTCTTATTGTCTTACCAGATAAAAGTTTACTTGGTTTTGTTTTGATAAACTGCCTTTACATGTCTGGTTTGTGAATTTAAACCATAATAAATTGTATAAGAACGAGACAAAAACTAAATGATTACTAAACTACCCTTATTTAATATAACTCGAATATGGTATTGTTTAATATCACCATCGCCCATCGCCACCACTACTACCTACCAGTAATCAAAACATATTACCTCCACCTTCTCCTCCACCACCTTCACAACCACTGTCATCCACTGGCCACCATTACTACCGTCATTGGGCACATCCACTATAACCACCACCACATCAGCCATAACTACCTCTTCCACTGTGACTATCCACCATCTTCACATCATCCGCCAATTCATAAGGATCTTCCAAACAAAATAAAACATAGTTTTTTTATTATTGCTTGCCAAAGCGTCAAAATTTCGTACCTCCCTTTAAAGGACGTAAAAAAATATGGTTAAGTGAGGAACAATTTAATCATTTACCAAGAGAGTTGAACCAGTAAACAAGTAAGAGATAGAAAAATAAAATATGTACAACTTATTAAAGCTTCATGTTTGAATTTGTGTAACTAACTACGGATGAACATAATTAAATTTTGAATAAGTATCTCATTTTAAATATAAAAGATTTAAAATATATTTAGGATAATCGTTAAATTTAAAATACTAAATATTATCTTTATAAAAAATATATTATTAAATTATATTAAATCTAAAATAAATTATAATAAAAAATAGAATTAAAGAAATTACACAAAACAAAAACTTTTGAATATTTAATTTGATATAAAAATCGACATATCTTTTTCAAAATTTTATGATACTTTCAAATTTATATTTTATTCAAAAATATAAAAACATTGTCGTTTTTTCTGTACCATATAATCGTATTATAAGATCGACGGAGATAAAATAAAACGAAACATTAAAATCGAGATGTATCTCGCTGCATTGTATAAATACCTTTCTAGTATTAAAAATAGACAAAAGCGATCCTTAATTTAATAAAGTTAACAAATATTTTAATTTAAAAAAATCATAATCAAAATAAATTAAATACCACATAAACTGAATCCACAAGAACACTGTAAAAAAATATCAGAATACAAATAACAAATCACAGTTCACAAATGAATTTTAAGATTAAAAAAGAAATCACTGAGCAGACGGGGTATAAAATGCCCAATGGATATGCCACCGCACTAAGGGTCCCTAATTCCAAAATTTGAAGGCGGGAAAAATCCCATTTTGACGATTATGAGAGGCCCCACCGGACGCCGCCCTCCGACGGAGCGCTTTGTCCCCGACCACCGCTTCACCACTCCAACACCTGTAGATCCATGGCAGTTCAACGGGGGCGGTGGGGGAGGAAACCGCCGAGATTCGGACGCTAGTTTCTGCAGTAGCCGTCCCTCTTCTTCCTTCTCTGCTGGCGCCAATAACCACCGTTCGGCCACCGCCGTCTCAATTACCGACCGATCCTACCAAAGCCACGCTGTTTCTACCATCAACTCCTACCTCTCCGCATGTTCCTTCCCGATCTCTTTCAAACTTAAACCTCTTCCGTCTAACAAAGACATCACCGAAACCCTAAAATTCGTTCTCACGCGCCTTGAATATCCGCCTAGTAATAAGTTCGAAGACGATTTGTTCATAGTTCTGAAATACTCGAATTGCCCGATCAAGATGAACAAGTCAGCCTTGAAAGCGCCTGGAACACCTCACTCATTTCCTAGTGTTTTAGCCGTGCTTCATTGGCTTGTACAGATTGCAATGTATAACGAACACCTTGTAAATTCCACTCAATCACAGTCGATTTCTGGAGATAGTATGTTCTCTTATACCCTGAATACCTACCTGCATTACATAAGGGGAGATGATGATGCAGTGGAAAGGGAAGATGACAATTTCATGGAGAAGTTACAACAGGTATTAATGTCTTCATTTTGAAATAGTATAACTAAAAAGTGATTTATTTAGGTTGATTTTAGTTCATAAAATGTTGATAATAGGAAAAAAGTTCCATGGAGGAGAATGTAAAGGTCAAATCAGAAATTGCTAAGGATTTGGAGGCAAAACTGGAGGCTATGAAGTCTGGGCCATCGCCGAGGGAAGCAAAGGAGGAGGAAAAGACTATGTTAGAAAAGGATATCAAGAAGTTCAATGAATTGATTGAGCAGTTGCGTGCACATGAGGTGAATGTGGAGAAGCTAATAGAAGAAAAAGAGAAGGAATTGGGGATAAAAATTGAGGAGAAGAATAGGATCTGTCAGGAGAATGAGGAATTAAAGAAGAAAGTGGAGGAGCAGGCTATCAATATGAGGGATGCAGATCGGATGAAGAGGGAGTTACAATCGGTGGAGAGAGATATAGGAGAGGCTGAGATTGCGAGGAACAAATGGGAGGAGAAGTGTTGGGATCTTAATGCTCTCATCGGGACAAAGTTTAAGGAGCTGGAGGCACTTCAGATTGAATGCAACCAGGCTCTCCGGAGGTACCCTCTGCGCTCTGTGAATTGTTTTTTATAACTACTTGTGATATTTAGTACAAATGCTTATAGAATTCGTCATTTCTTTTATTGCTGACATCTTACAATTTGATCTACATGCAAATCCACGCATTTTTTTATTAGATGCATGAGGTAGAATGGTGCATCGTTATGCTGGTTTATGATTGATTCTGTTGTTTTGACATGGAATCATGTATGATGTGAGAATTTCTCATCACTTGCCTAAATTTTTTTTTTTGAACATTTAGTGGGCACAAGATTTTGTTGTACTTTGTTTCCTTTTTTTACCTGGCATTGTCATTGTCTAAAAGCCAAGGCTATCTGCTATTTTGATGCACACAACATGAACATGATAATATTTGAGCTCACATCACTATTGATTTTTCTTGGTTTCCTTGTTGAATCTTAGGTTGAAACTAGGAAATGATTTTCAGTATGAGTTGAATGCCAAAGGTTCAACACCTGCTGAGGTGCTTGGCATGGATTATAAATCAACACTGAAGCCTGCACTCAGTTCCTCCAGTGATGAAGTAAAGAGAACTTCAATGGAAAATCTGGAAAGTTTGATATCTCTTCAGCAACTATCCCATGACATTACTGCAAAGATTGATGCAAAAAGAAATCGTATTGCTGTACTTCAATCACGGATTGATGAAGTAAGTCCCAACTATGTCTCTTTGCAGTATCAAAATGATAGATTTACAAGTTTATTAAAGTTGCCCTATCTTAGACTCTTTTATCGACCGTGCAAATTTAAAAAATGCATCTCCATTTTAAGGGAAAAAAGGAACAAGTTTCATCCATCTAAAGAATTTTAAAGTTTTGAATCAGAGGCAGTATTGTGCTAGACTCGCATGCAAAGCACCTGAAGGACTATGTTTTAGATATTATAAGCATGACTGCTAGTTGGTTGGGTAAGATAGAAATACAGCTATCAAAACAGACACTTTATATGAAAATTCTCATATCTGCAATAGTGCACTCATTGTGGGATGCTGTGAGCATCTTTTGTTGTTAGTATGACTCATGGTTTGGACATTTGCATGAGTATTTATATCGCTGTCCTTACTTGTTATTAGGTTGTGTCAATGACACTCTTTTCTTATGGTACTTATGGTCCAACCCTCTAAATTGATCTAGCTCAAGAAACCATGAATGAGGTCGTGTAGTACACATCTCACAGGTTAAAAGATGTGCCAAGGTAGTATAATTGATGTTAGGCATAACCACAATATTTGCATACCGTGGATAGTTACCAACATCATTGACTTCACAACAGTTAGTACCATCAATGTCTAATCATTTCAAAATTCACATATCAACTACTCTATTATAGTCCTAAAAGCTAGTTTTTATCATACTATTAAGAGTTAGGTTGTATCAAGACACAATTTTAAAAATTATAGTAACCAAGAAGACTAAACGAAGAGGCTTCTTGTCAAATAGTTTTAGGACAATAATTAGATGCAACACATGAAACAATATTTTAAATGGAAATAGTTCTTGATGAACAAAACACTTTCCGGTAAACTTCTAAATGGCACCATGACTATTTTTTTTTAACTTCTATTTCTCATATGATATGTGCACACGAACATCTGAAATTGTAAGCAATGCCATAAAGTCAAAGTTTACATAACTACAAAGGTTTTTCTGCACATTGTTATGCTTGTGGCTCATCTCATTTAGTGGTAATGGTTTTATGTTTGTCATCATCTGAACTGTGGTTAAGCCGATGAGGATTAAGATTATAAATGGTTGTAGTTCTTCATTTCTTCCAATGCTAATGGTTCTATGCATAAACATTTTTAAGATGATAAGGGTTTCAAATTGGCAATTAGTATTTTGAAGGGGACATCTAATTATGATACAAAAACTTCTCTAGTGGACAAAATTTCAAAATACCAATGGATATCAAGTGCTTTGACCTCTACAAGAATATTTACTTGTTGGAATAACAATATGAAATGGCGACAATGAGAGTACTTGGTACATAACTGCAACATTCCAAGGACGAACATCAAGTTAACAACATGGCATCTTAATAAAAATATCCTTGCAATCAGTAGAACATTAGGAGTACATGTAACAATTTTCACCAAAATTTAGCAAAGAAGCGACACTAGTGATAGACATGACTTGTAAGTTTGATCAGTGACCCGACAAGTAATCAGGCTTATACATATCTCATTAGAATACATATCTTGTGTCGTTGATACTGATCAAAAGCACATCATAGGCTGACACATGTTTCAAGAACAATGTAAAACTCATGACCTACAACTTCATAGCATAATGCATCACCAAACAATCAACTAGCACCGTCTTTAGCTCAAGTTCCGTGCTAGTAACACCATATATTAAATAACTGTTTTGCCTTGAATTATTAACCCACACATATTACCACATCTCTTACATACTAATATATGTCTAATATAAAGAACTAGAATCCCTAGTTCATCAAGCAAAGAGCTATGGTTGTACAAGTTGTCAGATTTGCTTCTCCTAGTTGAGAGGAGAATGGTTGACTTGTATTTTTGTACTTGGTGATGGTGGGATAAGCATTAAAATTTCATCAGGATCAGTGTACTAAGTTCTACGTAAGAAATATCTTTAAGAATCACCAAGACATTCCAATCTCGAACATGGATTATGATCTAAAACAAATCTAGCCAAGTAGCCATAGGCTATTGTTCTAATTAACAAACATGTTTAAATAAATCAACTTAAAATTCCAAAGTCTTGACTTTGTGGATTACTTCAAAATAGTTACTCATTCTTAAAGATATGGCAACAAGAATCGACCTTGACTATCAATATGTAAGATCATCTACCCACCTAAATGTTCATAAGTTTGTACTTTTTCTCATCATACCACCATAACACACTAGATATGTTTAAAAATCTTGTAAAATCGGTGCTTTGCTACGATAGCCTGAATGTTGTTTTAGCCTCATGTAGAGATCCATGTTGGACAGTAGGCCAGCATGCCTGCTGCCAATTGGCCATGGTGCTTCCTGTTGCAGTGTTGCTACTGAATTGTTTTGTAGGTCTTCTTAACTATGCTGTTAATTGCGGCGCTATTGCGCTGCAATAGCGGATATCAGACTAAGGCAAAATAGCGGTAGTCAAATATTGGTGAAAATTGCGGTTCCGATATTAGCGGCGCAATTGACCGATATTTGAGGTGAAATTGCAGACCGATATTGCGATATTCTAGCTTGGGCCTCTTTTGAACTATGTTGCTATTTTTCCCCTGTTTTGGCCTTTTATTTGAGTTTTTGACTTGGGCTTCTATTAGATTTGGGCCCTTATTTAAATTTTAATCCATTAACATTATCACTTTATCAACATCGAGTTTAGAAACTTTAAATTAAGAGGTTAGGTTTTCAATTTCTTTCCATTATCGTCCCATCCTCACTGAATTCGACGACAGACACCCACTGAAACTATATATATGCATACACACACACACTCTTAATTATATATATGTATTATATGTATATGATATGTTTATGTATTCATACATATATATAATTCTAAGAAATATTATATGAACCGCTATTTTTGGACCGCTATACCACCCCTATAACTGTTATTTCAAATATAGCTCCTGACCGCAATTTTGTGTTTTGACTGCTATGACAGCATAGCTTCTTAACTTGATATCCAACTACAGTGATATCTAGGGATCTTAAACATGTCTATATCACCTTACATAGCACACTTTAATACATCTCCAAAATCCCTGTTATATAAGTTCATTTAGATTGTGGGTGATGATTATTAATTGATATGTGAGGTCTGACTGGGCAGATGTCAGTGGGGATTTCTTGTTCTTCTGTCCTACAACTCTTAATGCCCTTACATCACAAAGTATATAAAACTACACCGAACCATCAAACAAGTAAAACTGAATCATGGAACACCGAAACCAGTGGATGATTGCATATCCCAGGGATGAATGAGCATTTAGAATGATTGGGACATGAATCTATAATAAAATTAACCTAAAACATGTTTTGAATTGTTTTATCATCTCGAAACTATTTTAAGCAAGGACCAGATTGTTGTTTGTTTTCCTAAAGTCTTTGAGAAAGCCAATTATAGTAAATTTGGCTTGAATTTGATGATTTACTCAATTCATTTATTAATATTTTTATTAATGGTGATGGTTTGATCAGATGGAAAGTCACTTAAGCGTGATAAAGAATGAAACACAAGATTACACGTCCAGGTGCGCCATGGAGGCTAGGCAGTTGGTTCAGAACTTCGAAGCCGAGTCTCATAATATGGATGTTGTTGAAAAAGAAGCTCTTGAACTTGTTGAGGTAAGCTCCAGTTTTTCCGTCTTTGCTTTGGAACAGTTTCTTTAGAGTAAGGGTCTGTTTGTTAGCAGCTTGTTCTGTCAGTTAGGCATGACTGTTTGATGGTGGCTTAATAATATAGAGAGTGGCCTATATTGTAAAATTCTAGGGGGAGCTTTATGTAGAAAGTCAAGTTTTTTCCAAACTTGCCCCTCCCAAAATCACATTCCTTCCATCTATGAAAAAACCCTCACGAACAAAAACCTTCCTAATCCATACAGACAGATAAATCCACACACATACGTCTTTATTCATACAGGACTTGAAGGAAAACCAACCAAGCTTGGTATGCAAGATAGAATGTAACAAGATTTTGTTGTGCCACCAAATTAGGTGGAACAAAAATCAAAGGCAAAATTTGCAACTTAGGGAACCACATAAGTCAAATTAAAACCCTAAAACCTTTCACAATAGTTTCACCCATTGTCTGTCTAGTCCTGCCTGCATACCAAACGTGCATTTAGGTTGATGATTATACTTGTTAATAAAATCAAAATAAATGTAACGTTTGAAATAAGCAATTCAGTTTTGAGGTAAGCATGGGTTATTATTGTTTTGTGAAGAACTCGAAAGCAAGGCTGCAGGAGACAAAGAAGAGAAGCGAAGAAGAGGTGGAGATGTGCGGTGTGGAGCTGTTGGCACTGATAGATTCAGTGTCAAAGTACAAAGAGCTGATTCGTATCAAAATATCCGAGATGAAAAGAGAGGTGTCGGAAACTGCTGGTGCAATTGCACAAATTCACAAGGCATCCATAACTTCGAATCTGAAAACTTGATCGATCATTTGTAGGTATGTATTATTACTTACGATTATGATGGCAGTGTAAATAAAAACATGCTTGTGTGTGCCCTTCACTTTGTGAAAATCATGGGTTTTCTTAATAATCAACACTCTGAACCAGGGTTGTTTGCAAGTCGAGTCGAGTTTCAGACTTATCGAGCTTTCAATATTTTTCCAATGTTTGAGCTCGAACTCGAGATTGATTAGCTCGTTTATTGGCTTGATCTCAATAATTTTTATATTTTGATTATATGATTTAAGAACATGTTTGGCTCGAAACATGGCTTGACTTGAAAATTTTAATCGAGCTTTTGAACAAGTTGAGTCGAACATCGGTGTTATGGAGCTTGGTTTGTTAAAATAAAACGAGTTTTATTGTGTTCAAGATTGACTCAGACTCAATAATTAGCAAGTCCGAAAGCTTGTTAAAAGCTTGATTTATTAACACCTGTACCGTAAACGTTGGACAATTAAACACAAAGAAGAATAAAATCAATAACATAGCATTACAGAAATTTGATTCTAGCTTATCACTACCACCAACTAGTTACGTACAAAATAGGGAAATCAATTAAAATAGCTATTTTCAGATGATTTTATTTCTTAGTCATTTCTCTCTTTTAAAATCTGTAAGTGGCAGGTCTACAATTTATGAAGGGGCTAAAGTGACAAAAAAGTTTTTGAACCAAGTTCGTGAGTACAAGGACCAAATCTGTAAATTCATCTCAACGGACCTGTATCAATTTTACAAATTTGGTCCCTGCACTCGGGGTTCAAAAACTTCTTTTTTTACACTTTGACCTTTAGTGACGTTTTAGTGATTTTTACAAAAGAATTGACTAAAAAACTTAACCGCAACCCGAAAATGAACATTTTAATTAATTTCCCCACAAAATAAGGTACAACTTAATGTAATAAATACATAATATTCACAATTGAACGAATCTAATACATTGATATGTTGCTAGTAGCAAATACTCACAATTTATAATATTATTTTGTCTTGAACCATTTCTCTTTCGTATATGTTGGAAACTCTTCTGACTTTTCAAGAGCTAAATAATTGACTCGGATTCCATATTTTTTTTACAGGTAGTGATGTCAACGGTTTGAACATTTAACAAGTTGTTGGAGCTCGAACTTAGTAATTCTTGATCACTTAGTTATTTTCAAACATGAATATCATGTAATGAACTACACAATAATCCAACTCCTAACCGTTGGTGGTAAGATTTTGGGTTTGCTACTTAGTAGTCACATATCTTAATTCCTTTATAACCACAAAAAAAAAAATGTGTCTTAACCACAAGGGTGGTGTCTGATTGGTTTGAGTTTGACTTCAAAGGTCAAAAGTACCTGGAGGTCCCAGGTTCAAATCCAAAGAAGAATAAAAATTCTCTTGTGGCCATGGAGGTTCAAATGCGGTGACTCCGGGCTATCTACAATGCATGTGGTCGCCCTGGGATTAGTTGGCTTACATAGCGGGTTGAATATCTAGGCTAATAACCAACCCGCTATGTAAGCCGACTAATCCCAGGATGACAACCTGCTTTGCAAATAGCCCGGAATCACCGCATTTGAACCTCCATGGCCACAAGAGAATTTTTATTCCTCCTTGAATTTGTTGTATGTATGTAGCTACGTGTGTCTCTACACACCTTAATTTTAATAAATTCAGGGGATTATATGCACGTTTCGAAACCGATATTAAATAATTAAAATCTAATAATCAGTTGCAATAAAAACATATTACAAAAGACGGTACCAAATGCTCAACTCGCAACGGTTTGCAACCATAATGCATACACGGAGGCTAAAACGTGGTATAAACGAACAAAACACAAAGGAACGGAACCAAAACGATGAGTAAATAAATTGGACTTTCCATATCATAACAAAACTGTGAAGCACAATTGATATTTACAAGTGCTATCACCACACGAGCAATCAAAACCCTAAGAAACACGCCTAAACATTACCGGCCTTACTTTTCTCTTTCGTAATCATCACTCCACAAATGCGGCTATTTACAGTTGATCGTTACAACATATGACCTACCGTTGACCACGAGATGCAGCCAAAGAGGATGAGAGATGGCAATACATATTTTCAAAACTCGAGCAGGGAAACATCAAACCAGAGCTGATACTCCTAGCAGCTGCTGCACAAATCATCCTGATAGTAAATTTAATGAGAATACCCTCTACGAGGACTGAACAAAAACTTGTTATCCTACATTTGAAACGAATTAGACTCGTATAGTGCTGAGTGGGACAAAAATGCATATATTTTTTTTTGGTTAGGTGGAACAAAGAATCAGGAATACGGACGAAATTGGTAAATTTACTAAACCACCCAGGTGAAATTAAAACCCTAAAACCTTCCGTAATTCTCCCACCCACCTACATCACTCTTGCCCGTCCAGTGTCCACCTACCTCACTCACGCTTTTATTCATGCAACAGAAAGTACTTGTATTGTTCGTTCAAAAGAACTTAAGTTTTATGGATGGAGGGAGGGATGTTCATCACACAAGAATCAAATGTGTTTTTTCACCAAAAAAATCTAATGATGCCTTTTTCTACCACATCAAGTTGCCAGTGATCACCGTGTCGATTTATGTCAGAAAATGACCTAAACTAAACTGAATGAAAAAGGTTAATAAGTTTTACACTTGTCATACAATTTCTTCTGCACGTGGTTAAATTTTTACAGTCAATTAGTAAGATAAGTTGAAGAAAGGTAAGTTACCTTACATTATCATCGTTGGGGGCTCATTGGAATCTGTGACCGTACGCCACTGCACAGTGGAGAAACAGGGCTTAGGTTCATGGAGACTGGTGTCTTCACAAATGGGTGCTCCAATAGTTGGGCAGCAGTTGGCCGATCATTCGGGTTAACTTGTAAGCATTTAAGGATGAAACTCCGGGCATCTCCAGACAATGTTTTAGGAATACAAGGAGGTTCACCTCTGCCAATTCTGAATAATGCTTGCATCTACGAAAGCAAAAGGGGGTAGGTCCTCATTAGAACAACTTAGTATCCAAAACTACTAAAAACATATAAATTTGGTAGAAATAAGGGCACTATCAATGAAGCAAAGAGAAAAAGAGAGCAGAGAGCACATGTGCTGTATTGTTTTTGGCTTGATCATCAAAAAAAGAGCAAAGAGCATATGTGTGTAGTAAAACATTTACAGGTATTTGGATGCACTCAACAGACTCCGCCCTCAATTGTGCTCTCTGATTTTTGGGGGGGTGATGTGGTTTACTTAGGAGAATAACCTTCTGAGTTCTGACATATTTCTTTTTAAATGCATGACCTTCTAAGAACCCCTTTCTCAAAATCGACTTGAACCTAGCCACCAAAGACGAGAGCAAGAATTTGCTGAAAATAGGGACTTTCCGCTCCAAAATTTTCTATGCTCTAATGTGTTAGGATGAGGCATTTTCCTGTTAGACAGAGGTGTTCTTAAATCTTCAGAAGGTCATGCATCCAAGAGAATCTGTCGGAAGGTTTATTCACTTAAATAACTTGAGTTATGTGGTATTTTATATGCTATTGCAATATTTGTCATATTAATCAAGAGTAGATATTGCTGCATGTTTATGGAAGGTGATACGATTATCCCATGGTTATTACAGAAACAAGTGATGTGTGAACTTTGTTAACCCCAGGTCTGAGTTTGCAACGTATGATTGTCAACTTTGCACAGGACTTCTTCATAAATCCAATTATTTTGAAAGGGCAGTATGGAAACAAACAGGAAATATTGAGGCAAGTGTTATGCATACCCCTTCCAAGTGAGAGTATGGAACTTTACGAGTCAGCATCTCCAACACAGTGCAACCAAGGCTCCAAATATCAGCTGCAAGTCCATATCCCTTGTTCTTCCGATTATTAACAACCTGAGGATGCATGAGCAAATTGTATCTATCAGAAAGCATCCAACAAGAATCACCATCTAGAAGCGACAATCAAACTGACAAATTTTCGGCAGGATAAACTAAACTTTCATATCCCCAGAAGTTTTTGGTGGCGTTAGGTTTGGCAGAATCTGATGGAATCCGAATTATGGATTCCATTTACTCAATTCCATTAGCTTGTTTGGTCTGCAAAACGGGGGGAACTGAATTCCACCAGAATTAGCAAATTCCCTTAGGTGTGGGAATTTATCATTCCTTCACATATCTAATGGAATAAGATTCCATTCCCTTGTAGTTTGTTAAAAGACAAAAATACTACACATGGATAAACATAAACCCCATTCGATTAATACCCCATCCATCCTTACTATTCATATTATTATTATTATTATTGCTATTACTATTATTATTACCAATGTTGTTTTAAATAATATATGGTAATTTAAATAACTTTACTAGTCTTTATAATTCATTCCAAATATGTATTTATAAACCAAACAAGAAACTAGAAAAATATCATTAAAGGGTAATTATGTCATATCGTTATTTACATTTGAATTCCAAATCCAAATCTACATTCTACAAACTACAAAAACCAAACAGAATATTCAAAGAAACTAAATTGAATTCCATTTCATTCTAAGTCCCTCGTATTCCAATTCTTTTGACAAATTCCATTCATTTCGAAAACATTTTGTTGACCAAGCGCCAACTTAGGTTCAATTGCTTCTACCACCCAGTTAAGCATGAATGGTGATAAAAAAACAGTTATATCACATGAAACCATCAAATTGGTAGCAGAGAACCTTCCAATATTCAGGTCCAGTTTGCTGTTATCATGAATCTTACAAGTAACATGTTCACAAGGAGTATATATAAGCAACAGGCATTGGTCACTTTTCCACATAAGAACAAAGATAAAGGAAGAAAGAGTAAACTCTGCTACCATTTCATCTTTAACCAAGTTGTGAAAATTACAGCATGAGATGTTTAGTAGTAAGTACACTACATTAAGGGAGACACATTATGAACTTTCTGGTCATATGGGGGTGGCATACTTCCCAAGAATGAACATGATATGGATTTCAGATGAGTCTCGTGTTATTCCTTTGTACTAATGTTGTATTTCATGTTACTGCTATACAAAGACCAGATTACTGGTTAAGCATATATGACTTTCGGATTGTCAACATAACAATTAAGAATCTATGTCTTCCTGTCATTAGGATATTCACATCCCAAGGGTAGAATTTGTTATCAAATTTTGAAGTGGCTACCCTCATGGCTTTCACTAACCACCACCAATATCCAATACGTTGAAATAAGGATATAACAAACAAGCAGCATCCTGTATCACATGTAACCCACAGGAAAAAGGAAAAAAAAATAATCTACGATCAGCTTAAAGTAACAAACAAAATCATAAGATTCTGTGATATAAAGAAAGATATGGAAAGGATCTAGTGTGGTTTAAATGATAAGATAAAGATGAGGTGTATCAATGCCTGGTGGACACCATATGATTTAATGTCCTTCCCAACTATAGATTAAGAGAATGGAAATAAGTCATAACCTCTGGTGCCATCCAATATGGAGTCCCCTTGCAAGATTTGATGTCATTCAATTTGGTTGCCTACGGATACAAATAGTGTTACATTTTGTAGGTTGTAGAAAGGAAGTCGTAAGATGGAGCAAAGAAAAGAAATTAGAAAGAAATGAAACCATGTGCCAGCTACCTTCGCCAACCCAAAATCTGCAAGCTTCACAGACCCACTCACATCGACCAATATATTAGCACATTTGATATCCCTGAAAGATGAAAATGAATAACTCAGGAGATAATCGATAGTACAACCACTAAGACTTCCACAAACTACGAAACTGCAAAGAAAAAAAAAAGAAAATCTAACAAGCGGCTCATGTAAACCATTAGCTTCACATTAAGCATGAGGTCTCAAGTTGTCATCTCAATTGATTCAAATTTTATACTAGCGCAAGAAAAAGAAGACAAAGAAGAGTAGAAAAGAACAAAAAGAAACTAAATATATTTGGGGGGAGGGGAAACACAAATAATATCAAGTAGCTTCAGTCTGGTGACATATGCACCTTCCAAGGGTAAAGCATTAAAATATAGAATTTTCATAACACCAGCAATTTACATTTGGGAACAGCAAATGTAAGTGATGAAAAACCCATAAAAAGATGAGAGTAGTTCTTTAGAAATATTTACGAACTTATGACATAAACCCGGAGCTTCAGGACACACAGACACAACCAGGAAAGAGAAGGGCAGAAAAGGGAGGGAATATTAATATTTTAAACCAAATCTTTTCCAAAATGCATGAACTTTTACCTATGAACTACATTTCGGTCATGCAGATAATTCAAACCGCTCAAAATCTGCCTTGTGTAGGTAGAAACTTGGGAATCCCGCAGGTGATACTTTTGATAGAGATTTGCCAGTGAACCTTTCGGCATAAGCTCAAGGAAGATATATAGTTTGCCATCATCCTGAAACATCATTTCATCATTTTTATTGGCTTATTAGACATCAATTACATATATACTTATTCTGCCTGTAAAAAGTAACCGATTGAAAGTGAGAACAGTTCAAGAACCCAGGTGAGTGTCTTCTTCCCCATCTTAAAACGTGTTCCCTGTTTCTATCTCTATAACACAGTGAAAAACCAAAAATATGAAGCTAATTCACAAAAGCTAGCCTACTGCAACTACCACCGAGGTAGAAATAGGATCATCAGTACTTCAACACATACATCCTTAAAATCACATAAATTGGAGGCACAAAAAAAATGTGAAGCTTTATCGAGTGTAATACTTAGATGGAGACTCCCGAGTCTAAATAAGAGACATTCATATGGAGTCGACATTTATTTTGAGGATGTGACTAACTTCCTGTAGAATATATAAAAACTGAAGAAGCTGCAGAAATCATGGATGTGATCCATTTTGTGTTAGGCCTAAATTCATTAGTGAAAGGTAGTTTTGGTATTTCCGTTTAACTAGTCCAGAAATAGATGGGGTGGGGAATGTGTTAGGCATACTTACATCATCATAAAGTGAATTGAATGAGTAATAAATTGTTAGAAGAGTTGGTCTACGTCTTCATGGTAGACTGATATCAGGAAGAGTTGGCCTATTCTTGAATATAGGCCATTTACTTGTTCATTAAGTTTGTTTATTGTTAGTTTGCTCTATTAACAGTTATCAATATACTTTATGTTGGGTTCATATCATTTTGATACTCCAGCAGGTGGGAAAAAGTTATTACAAAGAGGAAAAGAAGCCCACAAAAAGGAACATCACCTTTTCTTGTGCCTCCTGCCTCAAGCTTTATTGTTTCATAAACAGGAAATTTTGATATGTACCCTAATAGCGACAATGGTAACACAAATTTATGCTTCTGTAAGGAGGTTTGTTCATAAACATTGAAGAGTTGAAAGAGTATTTTCACCATAATGTTTGTTGAATCTAATGTGGGTCCCAGGTAAGGTAACAGTTCAATGGATAAGAACAGCTAAGTTGATGTATAAGAAAAGCTAAGACGCCTTACATGGTTAGCAACTCTGCTGTCATTTCATGTGTCACATTTCCTGAAACTTGCAGCTTCTTGGAGCATTTGCCCTCTTATTCAAATGATGATGTTTTTAAGTAAATAGCATCTCTCCTAAATGATCAGCTAAGCTTCCACACCCAAAAAGACAACCTTGGTAAGAAACAAATGCATACCTTATCAGTTCCAAGATACCGAACAATGTTATCGTGTTGGATTTGACTTAATAAAAGTATCTCCTGAAACAATAAAAAATATGAAAACAACTCAATGTTCAGCAAATCAGGACTCGATGGTATGTACCCATGCATAGCTAGAACGAAAGAGAAGGGGGAAAAAGAGAACTTATAAATCACCTGTTCAAGTTGAAGAATGCTCTGCTTTCCTTGGCTTCCTTGATCAAGCAATGAAACCTCCTTCACAGCAAAAAAGAACCCATATCTGCAAACAAACATATAGATCCTTAAGTGGATGAAAATGAGAACAACTTAAGAGAGAAAGCAAGAGTGACCAGGCAGAAGGTTTTCTCTCCTTCTAACATAACTGCAAGAATGACATGATGAGAAATACAACAGGCCAGAACAGGGAAAGATAATATATTAAGAGGAACTTCGCTAGACGAATATCTTATTTTTGGTAAAAGTGCTTCCTTTATACATCTAAATCAACAAGAAGATGCACCATATTAGATGAGGAAAAAAGGAAGGATCATCATCCTCTGTTCTCCAATTCCCGATACTAAAGCCATCTAAAAGCCTGATATCACATGAGCTGATAAGGAGCTTTCTGCATTATGGTTTGCAGTCGGTATCAATACACTTAAGTCCCACTGATCCATGTAGTGATCCAAAAAGTTCTAATCACCGAAGAGCATTGTCCTTCAAAAGTTTCTCTAGCAGTGCACTTTCAGTAGGATCATCATTTTTCTATAAGCTACGGACATAGCGTCAAGAGTGAGGACTAACAGCGAGCACCACCCCCACTCCCTAAGGGTCCGTTTTATAACCTTCCAGAATAACTAGATTTATTCCTCCATATTGCAAGAGGCAACAAGTTACACTTGCATGGATACACTTTCCAAGTAAACTACAGATCAAGGAAAAGGCATAGCATTACTTGACCTCTAAACTTAACCAGAGAAGACCAAAGACAATGAACATAACTCAATATCAAGGTCAATTTACTGAAAAGTAGAACTGGCACTTCGATCAGCATTAGAGAAAAAGCACTTTAGATCAGACAAAGCAGTACTAGGACTTTCATCGTGACTACTCTAAACGCATGTCAGTGATCACTACAAGACATGATTAGGACTATGGTCAGTTGACTCAAAAATGCATGTTGAATCATAACAAGGCAGGACTCGTTGATGCAACCCCATCGCTAATACTTTGGCATTGCTCAAACTCAAATGCATGTTATATCGTAACAAGGAATGACTAGGATACTGTTTGACCTTACTTAAGAAATGCACGGCATATCATAACAAGCAGGGTTTGTCATAGTTTTTCTATCCCTGATTTCCTCTCCTAAGAATGCAGCATCTAGCACATTTGAACTTATATTCCCAAAACAATCTCTCTTTGAGACAGGACCAGGGACAAAGGTATTGTTTTGAAGGAACGATGTCATCTTTGTGTTTCCTTGTCCAACAAATATAACCCACAAAATTGGGATGGCAATCAGAAGTATGCATGTATAGCTAAATAGCATAAATGCTATGTCGTAGTGCTGAGATGACTATAAAGGATATATACATAATTTTAGCAATAAAACAAATCCTTAGGTTAGAAACCTCTCCTTGGATAAAATAATCAGTATGTCATGTTGGCTCACCTATTCTACAACTCTAATCCGCAGAATAGCACATCTGCTACTGTATCATTTATGTAGTCTGGCCTTTAAAGTATTTGGTATTATTACTTGCTTGAGCATGTAAAAACTACTATAGATGAATCCTTCCAATGTAACAGCCGTACACATCAAACAGCATCACTGGTACACTTTATATTGATAAAATTGAAGCCAATCTTTGTACAGCTTAACTAAGAATCTCTACACCTTGTTGAGGTCAGATCACGTCCTTATTTGGAGTCTTCTCCAAGAGAAAAGAGGTGGTTTAAGACCATCTTGTGAGGACTGAATTCACCCTATGATATTGTAGTTAAATCCGATTTATATGGGCCACTTTTGCACAGTGAATAAATTTGAAGCTCCCTACGACGTATGTAAGATCTAGTATAACGCTTCATTTTTTCCCCTTGCCTGCTCAGATGAATGGGGTTTTGTAAAATGGCTAAGACCCTCTTCTGCAGAGAGGACTCTGTTTAAAGGACCTCCCCTTTGATATTTTCAGCAATTTTTTAGGAGCAATGCAGCATGAAGAATGAACTGGTGGCTACCATTTTCGTATACAAAAAAAGCCAACAAACCTTGACAATCCCCAAAGAAAGAGAACGTTGGAAACCTAGCACAGGATCCAACTAAATCAGATAAGGGTTTCAAACCTTCTCATCCTTCACTGAAAAGTGAAGATGGAGTAGAGAGTTGCATTCTAATTGCTCAAAGGCAAGTGGTACATACTGGCAGTGCCACAGCACTTGCACAATGCTATGTAAGTACAAAATTGTGTTACAGAAGAAACAAAAGATACAGTAGCAGATCTAGAAAACTGTGTTACAGAAGAAATGAAACACACACTTCAGAAATATCAGTAATTAAGCTCTCTAACAGTTAGCTCCAATTAGATTGTCCATTACAAGGACAAGGCTTCCACAGAAAACGAGGTTGTGAAGTTTATTGTGTACATGCTGAGAGATAAGTTGTATCAACCAGCTATTTCCTATGACTTTCGTTAAATTATAATGCTTTGTGATCGATTAAATATCAGTTATAGCATATCGACATGACATGTCTGTTTTCTCTTGGGTATGCCTAGTAAGATCTAATTATCTCTTCAATTTATTCCCTTGGTCATTACAGCTTGTTAACCGACAAAGAAACTATAAACTCGCTCGCCCATTTTGACAGCTATCCCATCTGCTATAAAGCTACATCAGATGAGAGAAGCCTCCCATGTGTCAAAATAGCAATGCTTGCTTCTAATGACACTTAACTCTGTTGAGTTACAGAACGAGAAGATTCAGATATTTAATCATCATTTTAGAATTAAAGATTCAAGAGTTGATCCACTTAAGAGTCTCCCAACCAGAACCCCTAAAAGTGGTTTGGTTCTTCATAACTCCTAACTAGTTCCTTTTTTAGACTAACCTAACAAAATTTAGACAAAAGGCACATTTCTGCTATTCAGATACCAGATGCAAAATAAATTTGACAGTGTTTTGGCAGAAGATGCAAAAAGGTTGATCTATAGATAACAACAAAAGAACAGGTGACATCCGCAGGCTGTATAAATGGGTGGAAGCCAATATGATGATTATAGAAGCTCTGCCATTACGATAGCAATATCTAAATGTCACTTACTCATTGAAGCCTTCGTAAACAGTTCCAAACGACCCACTTCCAAGAAAATCGCCCTTCTGCCAGTTTTTGATATTGCACCTGATCGATCCATTAGGTGAAACAAAATACTCCAGTCCAGTTGCGGCCATAGAGTAAGCATTGTCCTCGTCATCGGATGTATCCAAAATTGATTGTGGAACAATGGTTCTTGTCATCGTCCCACTCCGCTCTCCATCTTCAACAACTGTAGGTCCAACAATCGCAACCGCATCTTCAATTAACGAGCTAATCACCCTAACTGGTTCAACTGATGTCGACTCTTCATCAGTCCTAGGAGAAAACCCACGAATTAAATCCCATGTCGAAGCATGATTATCCACAATCACTTGTGACCTAGCAGGAGGACGAGCAAGTAACGGCGGCCGGACACCCTTAATTATACTCTTACTCTCCACATAACCTTTCTCAGGAGCTTTACGGGTGTCATCACCATAATGCAAACCCCTAGATTTTTCAACATCAGCCAATTTATCACCATTAATAAATTCCGACAACTGGTTTACACGCTTGATCTCACCAATTCCAAATACTCTGACATCACCGCCACGCATTTCACCTCCATTACTTACCAAAACCCTAGCTTCTTCATCCTTGGTTAATCTCAAACATCCAGTATCACGCTTGACCTCGTCATTACTAACCCTAGCCGGAGATTCAGAAGTCTCCGGAAAATCACTCCCTGGAGATTCTTTGGTTGGATCCGGAGTAAAACAACGAAACCTGGAACCAATCAAATAATTACTATTCGTAGGAGAGCAAGCTTTATGAGCTTCCCAATCAGCCGCCGGAATTGCGAAATCTTCCGGTCCAGAAAGCCCTAGAGACCGGCAAATCAAATCGAACTCGCCTTCAGTTCCTTCAATTCGATAATTAATTACATCAGAAAACAAAGAAGCATCACGTGATTGAGTTCCATGAGCTGATGGCATATCAAACAACGACAAAGATGATGATGATGATGACGACGATGTAGAAGCGTCGTAATCGGCATTTTTGAATGCATTTATTCGTTCAAGCCTCCGCCCTAACCGCTTTTGCTTCGTGTACATGTTCTTCTTCCTTGGTTTCTCTCTCGAGAATTCGCTGCGAACATCGACAGATAGGGTCTGCGCTGATGGTTGACTTTTTGCTCGTCAAAGCATCATTTATATAAAGAAAAGTTACAGAAAATACCCTCATATTTATCCAAATTGTTATCATTGGTCCCTGAGGTTCGTTACAATCAACTTTTAATCTTAAAGTAAAATTAGGGGCGTTCAAAAAACCTTCGCATCCCGAAAACTGTTCAAACCAAACCAAACCAAACATTATGGTCCTGCCAGTTTGACGGTCCGATCTGACATGGAAAAAAGCCAAGTTTTTACGGTCTTGTATATGGATTGAGGCACCAATTTGGTGGTTTAAGCCACTAAATTGCCTATATATAATGTTGTATATGTATAACTCATAAACATAATTAAGAGGCTATTTGGTAGTTGCTGAATGGTTTGGTGCAAAATGATTAAGTGGTCAGAATAATTAAGAGACTCTTATGATATATTGCAAAATGAAATATAATTGTTTGATAATTGTTTACGATAAAATTAGGGCGTTAAATTGTTAAGAGATGACCAGAATACAAAACCATTCAGATAGTTTTGTAACCATTAAGAGGCAGACTTTTTTTTTGTCAAACAAGATTCACATTTTAACGATTCAATTGCTACTCACTTAATGCGAAACTGCAATTTTTCGAACCGCCCTTGAGGTTCAGTTTATAGTTTGGAGGATTAGACCGTCCAAACCAGACCATATACACCCCCAAATAAAACAATTCAAGTTTATGATATATTTTTTTAAAGTTGCAATTATCAGTTATCCTGTATTTGATATATTCGATTTTCAATTTGATTTTTCTATTTTTTATGATAGAAAAAACTCTATTTTCTTAAGCATGTAATAAGTTCGTGCAACTAAAATTCAATTTTCAAACATAATTCTAACTTATGTAACTAACACTAAATTTAACAAGATTTTTTTTTAAATTCAATTATAAACAGAAGACAAAATAACAGTTATGCAATGTTTGATTTTTGTAATATTTATTCATATGTGAATTTATCATGAGAAATTTTCCACCATAACAGTTATCAGTGTTTCATAAATTCAATTATGATTTTGAGTTTATTCATATGTGAATTTATCTTGTAAAATACACCAGAAATTGACGAAACAATGATCCAAGAAATTAAAGGGTAGTATTTGAAAATGTTGTTAACCTTATGGGTATTTAATGCAAATTTGTTTTCCATTTGAATCGTCAAAATAACTGGCTTGAAAACGACTAAATTTATTTTATTTTATTTTATTTTTATTTTTTTAAGAGGAATCAAGTGAATTAAGGAGGTGGTGCCACGTGGAGGACAAACGACATAGAGGCGTATACATGCTGCCAAATGGCAAGCAGCCAAACACCGTTCTTTTTATTTTTTTTATTTTTTTACTTAGTTTTCGGGTTGTGTCTTCCCGGGCCATCGTTCCCCGACGATAAGATCGTTTGGTGCAAGGATTGAATGGGATTTAAAGAGATTTTGAGTTGAATTCTATTCAAATTTTATATTTAGAGGTTTTGATTTAAACCATGATTATAGATTTTAAAGAGGGTTATTTAAAATAAGACAATCTTATGAATTGATATAAATGTATCAAATTCATCTTTCTTATATACATTATTTTGTTTAAATCTTTCAATTTTTCATCAATGTTGGACAAGTAAAACTCAACAACAGTTCATCATTTGAGAATACTCAATTCTTACGGTGCCACCTCAATATCTATGGTTTTCCTTATATATATACATACTAGGTTCGATCTCATGTATTACACGGCGTAATTTAAATAAATTAAATCATGTGAGGAAACTTATCTTACAGATATGAATAATCATCGAAAGTACAGTGCTACTTCAGACTTGTACTTTTGAAATAATTCTGAAGTATAACGCTGAAGAATAACTCTTCAGACTTGAATTTAGAAATGAAACTAGATAAATAATTAGTTAAAATTAAGTTAACCCTATAATTAAATTAAATTTAGAACTGAAATTATATCAGTAAATTGAATTTAAACTTGAAAGTAAATTTAGAATGATTTTTCAGACTTGTACTCTTGAAATAACTTTGAAGTAAAACAATTCAGAGTTTAGAGCTCTGTATAGGCAAGTCAAAAGCTCTGCATGCACTATGGTGAGCTAACTCAGAGTTCGGGTGAGGTAACTGTGAAGTTTAAACTTGTACTCTGGAAATAACTCTAAAGTATATAAAATCAATCCCACCAAATCATAGTTTAGACTTCTAAGTCTGGAAAAAAAACTTCAGAGTTCGGGTGAGCTAAGTCTGAAAAAGAAGAGTTCAGAATTCAGGTGAGATAACTCTAAAGAATGACTCTTCAGACTTGTAGAAGACTTCAGAGTTCAGACTTCTAAGTCTAAAAAAAGACTTCAGACTTATTTTTCTAAGTCTAAGAAAAGATTTCAGAATTCAAATTTCTAAGTCTAAAAAAAAAAGACTTCAAAGTTCAGACTCTAGAGTTCAGGTGAGCTAAGTCTGAAAAGGCGGACTTCAGAGTTCGGGTAAGCTAACTATTTAGAATGACTTTTCAGACTTGTACTCTTGAAATAACTCTGAAGTATAACTTTGGAAAATGACTTCAGACTTGTACTTTTGAAATAACTATGAAGTAAAACTCTGAATAATGACTTCAGACTTGTACTATTGAAATAACTCTGAAATACAACTCTGAAGAATGAATTTTCAGACTTGAATTTAGAAATGAAAATATATCAATAATTAATTAAAGTTAAGTTAACCCTATAATATAATTGAATTTAGAAATGAAACTATATCAGTAAATTGAATATAAACTTAAAAGAGCGCATGTGTCAAATCTGAAGACAAAGTCTGGAGACCTTGAGTTTAGAGTTATTCAAATACCCAATAAAAAATCTCATGGTAAAACTTGCATCATACAAAGCAAGACCAACCAGAGCTTATATGGTTCTCAAGGACCAGAGTTCTTCAGGACTCACCAACCAAAAACAAGGCCAACCAAAGGCCCTCTGGTCAACCAGAGCCTCTAGGTCAAGAAAATGTTAAATACTTAAAAATTTTGAGTTTCAATTACAACCAGAGACCCTCTGGTTAAACATGAAGATCAACCAGAACCCCTCTGGTTCATTTATGATGGATTGAAGTATTTTTCCAACGTTCAAATAAACAACCAGAAGCAAAGCCATCCAGAAGCCAGACCAACCAGAGGAACTCTAGCGTACAAGACTAAGTTTAAGTCTTAAAGATTTATCTTCAAAGTCTAGATAAGTTTATTACAAGACTTGTACTATTGAAATTAATTTGAAGTAAAACTCTTCAGACTTCAAAGCTCTGTATAGGCAAGCCAGTAACTCTACATGCACTATACGGAGGCTCTGTATGGTGCTCCATCTGGAAAAGAAGACTTTAGAGTTCCGGTGAGCTAACTCTGAAGAATGACTATTCAGATTTGTACTCTGGAAATAAACTCTGAAAAATGACTCTTTAGATTTGTATTATGGAAATAACTCTAAAGAATGATTATTCAGGCTTGTACTCTTGAAATATCTCTGAAGTATAAAATCAATCTCACTAATCAGACTTCAGACTTCTAAGTCTAAAAAAATGATCTCAGAGTTCAGACTTTAGAGTTCGGGTAAGTTAAGTCTGAAAAGAAGATTTCAGAATTCCGGTGAGCTAACTTTGAAGGATGACTCTTCAAATTTATACTCTTCAAACTTGTAGAATAATTTAGAGTCCGTACTTCTAAGTCTTAAAGAGAAGACTTTAGAGTTTGGGTTTCTAAGTCTGAAAAGGAAGACTTCAGAGTTCAAACTCCAAAGTTCGGGTGAACTAAGTCTGAAAAAGCAGACTTCAGAGTTCGGGTGAGCTAACTCTGAAGAATGACTTCAGACTTKTTCTCTTGAAATAACTCTGAAGTAAAACTTTTCAGTAAATTGAATTTAAAATAAAATGAAGTTAAACTTATAATAAAATTGAATTTAGAAATGAAACTATATAAGTAAATTGAATTTAAATTTAGAAGTAAACACCATTTTTTTTGGAATTAGTTACCACACGAATTAATTAACCAAGAATAAAATCAATTGCATCCTAAATTAGTGGGATTGATTGAATAAGATGACATATGTCAATCAAATGAGTCTAAATGAACTACTAATATAAATTGTGTCTACATACGTTCAAATTAGTCTAATTGAGCTGTAAATGTAAATTGTGTCTAGATACGTATTTAAGCGAGAAAACACTAAAAACGACTCATCAAAAGATGACATGTGTCTCCCAGTTACTTATTTATTATAATTATATATGTGTGTGTGTGTGTGTAGATTTGATAGATTTCCTGAATTTTGGAATTTTTCTGAAAATACTATAAACATAGAATTTTGAAATCTTATAAGGGTGAATATTCATGAGATTTCGTAGGATTTGTTTGTAATAATGTGTTAAAATATGTTAAAGACATTTGTTTTGTAATAATCAATTAATAAAAAAAAGGTAATTTAATTATTTTCATTAATTATGTATAATATTTTTTATAAATTATTTATAAAGAAGGGCAAATTGTATGAAAAAATAGCGTATATTCCTATTTTGGATAACGTACTTTCAAAACTTCCATTTTGGTACATGAGATGTAAAATTTTAAACATTTAAGTATTCAGATAACCAGTTGAAGCATTAACCAGTTACCATGTTGATGTGGCGAGTGATGTGGTAACCGGTTAATGTTTTAACTAGTTATCTGGGTACTTAAATGTTTAAAATTTTACATCTTAGGTACCAAAATGAAAGTTTTGAAAGTACGTTACCCAAAATATAAATCAAGTTAAAGTACGTTACTTTTTCATGTAATTTGCCCTATAAATAATGAAATTCAATTCCATTACAGATTCTACAAACCAAAAACACCAAAAAGAAAAATCAAATACAAATCCCTCCATGAAATCCAAATCCCTCAAAACCATTACATTGAACCAAACGTCCCTTCAGTGGC